TGCCTCTCACAAGCCCCAGCTGCATAATGAATCTTGTATCCCGAAAAGACTCACAGCAGACATCTGCTGAGTCACAACAGTCACCTATAATTTTTATAGTAGTGGAGAAGGGACCATATTCTGAAAAATGGAGTATCTCAGTATCCTGGATATGGCTGGGTGGCATAGAAATGTTGAGATTAGGACTGCTAGAAAGGTTGGTGCTAATTCCTCTATGCTTGCGTGATGGCTCACTATGGTAACTAAAGCCATTTAAGTTTGACTCAAAAAACTCTGGAAGAAAAACATACTGGGTTTAATATTATCTCTTCTCTTTTATCTTTGCTGCTGTTCTGCGTATCTAAATACCTAAAATATCTGTGATCAGGAGAGAAGGGTGTTGAACACAGAGAGGATATATGAAGCCATTTTCATCTTCTTCTCTAATACTGAAGCAAGATGACTGGCTAATTGGAGAAGAGGTGAAGTGAACTAGGAATTTATCTAGGAATTTTGTTCAAATATCTTGGAAAGCGTTATTGCATAAATTGGGTTAACGTCTGCACTTATGAATAAGTTGTAATAAAGAGGACTTTATGAACAGTTAATTAACTTTAAAGGCTAGAATTCCAGTAAGACAGATTGACATGAATGGACACTTTATTGATGTTTTTATAGCCATTCAAGCCTTTGATACATATGAAATAAGCTTGTGTGGAACATGACGATATATGTCTATTTCAGTCGCTATCAGTTCCTAAAAGTTGGCCATACCTACTGCTGGATCTTGTCCACAATATTTGCATAATGTAATTTATACAGCAAAATCAGTTGCTTCCCAAATGTGTCGACTACCAAAGCATCAAGTCCAAAATGTATGGTTTCTGAACATTAGACTTAAGCATGGACACTGAATAATAAATTAATCCAGAAAACACGCCTCACTTTAACAAAGAATGTCAGAAAAATCTTTACAGCGAAGGAGATAGAAAAATCTCTGAAGGTCTGTCTAATAGTATTACTTTCTCTTAGAATAATGCGTAGGGACAAAAATTAGGGGAAAACAATGGGAAAGATTTGCCAAAGGCATTTTCTTATGTACGATTCCAAGTGATTAATTAATTCAAAGCTAAACTGTAAAATATAAGTTAGTTTTGAACTGTAACTTTCCACCCACTTGCTAGCTAATTGTTTTATCTCCTTTTGCTCTGTTTATATGATCAATAACACACATATATGGTTATGGGTAGTGTCAAAAGCAAAAGAATAGCAAGCAAAGGATTTAGAGGAGTAGCACTTCCAAGCCAGAGATATAAAGGAAAATTATGTCACAGGTGTAAGATCAAAAGATTATTCTTCCTACTCTTTCAGGTTGGACATAGTCCAAGCATGAAAATCTAAACATTCAGTGTAATTAAGCTGTCACGTTAGGAGCCCTGATCGCTCAGCACATAAAATGAAGCATTACATTGCTAGTAGAGTTTTCTACTGCACAGGAGTTTGGAATCAATTCAAAAGCTTAAAAAAAAAGGAAGGAAGGAGGGAAATAATTGATGGGAAAGTAGAAAATATACCATCAACATAGTTGTAACAACTGGAGAGATGATAATCTGGAGTTTTTATTTCATGGCTTAAGAAAGAAAGCATGATACCTCAAACTAACATGTTTAAGTGCCTTCAAGTATTTCATTGGATACTCCAGAAATGAACTCAGAATAAAAATATTCATTAAAGCCAATGGAAGGAGATAAAAAGATCTGGCTTTTCTTTTACTATAAAACACATCTCCTGAAGGGGCTATGCATACATGGGGCTATGATAGCAATAGCAATAGCAATAACAATAGCAGTTAGACTTATATACCGCTTCATAGGGCTTTCAGCCCTCTTTAAGCGGTTTACAGAGTCAGCATATCACCCCCACAGTCTGGGTCCTCATTTCACCCACCNTAAGACCTGGCTGTTCCGGCAGGCCTGGGGCTGTTGAATCTTCCAGCCCCATCCCGAGGTACGAATGTTGCTGTATTTTTAAATTGTTTGTCTTTTTATTTTTATTTTTTTACCCCCCCTCCCCCTCAGATTGTTAGCCTCCCTGAGTCTCTCGGGAATAAGGCGGCATACAAATTAAATAAACCCTTAAACCCTTAAACCCTGCATTTGAAGATATCAGTCTTGCCAAAGGCTCCTTGGTGCATTTGTGGCCCAGTAGATGCCAAGACTTACCTAAAGTATCACAAGGCTCATTTTTCCAGGAACAGATGTCAAAGCCAGTTAGTAAAATCGCATGGTCGTGGCGGCTACCATCCTTTCCCATCAGCCCAGACTGCCACTGACAAAAGCTACTCAGGGTATGGTCAGCATGGTGATTAATCACAAGGCCTGGCTGCAGACAAATCAAACAAAGGAACACCTCCGCTCAGTTTTTTTTTTAATTGGAAAGTAAAAATGAGCAGGGATGTTTTTAAAAAATGCAGTTTGTAACTGAATAAAAACAGACCAGCACTTTTGGGGCAAAGATTTGAGAAACAACAGAACACCAATATTTTTCCTTCTACGAAAGCGGCTTAGACAAAATAAATGGATGTTTTGGTCTACTTTGCAAAATCAACTTGACATTTTGAGGAACTTCAAAGACCCATTGTTAATATAAACTCATTAGAAAGGGTTTGTATTGCCTAATGCAACTCACCAGCCAAGACCAGGTAATCCATCAGAACCTTCATACAGGAGTTCTCTCTAGGACTGGAAAACCAGTATATTTATCAAGCCTTCAGACTTGCCTAGCAAAAATATTTGGCTTGGATGTACCTAGATTGGTAAGCCTGGTTGGTAGACACCTGGTTTGCATCCTGCCAAGTGATCAGTAAATAATGAGCATGGATTATGATTGCACAAACTCTCTTCAACTGATTCATTAACTCTCTTTTGTGGCATAGCCAGTGGGTCGATATGGCACCTCGGAACGATAAAAATAATTTGTCGTTTTCTCTTTCTGAAATTGCAAGTTAGCAACAGTGTTTCCCACTAGAAATAGAGAAACAAAAGTATGGAGCGCTGTTTTTAAATCTCAGTTATTTCCTTCACCAAATGATGTAGTGCTAATAAGGAATGGAAAGGGAAAAGGAAAGGAGTCCTTGCAGATTTTACTCCACTGTTTATTGCTGACTCTAGGGGGTTCCAATCATCTCCTTTTCAAGGCCGTTGAGCCAGTGCTGACCGAAGACGTTTCTGTGGTCATGTGGTCAGAATGACACAAAGTGCAGTTTCCTCTCCATCGAAGTGGTACCTATTTAGCTACTCGCTTTTGCATGCTTCCAAACTGGTAGGTGGGCAGCAGCTAGGCAAAGACGAGCGCTCACTCCATTGCACAATTCTTGGGTCTCAAACCTGGGTTGTCAACTTTCCAGCCAACAAGAACAGCGTATTAACCACTGGGCCTTTGTGTCACCCAGTGCAAACAAAGATTGTGAAAAGTATGATTACAAGAGATATGAAATTTATTATTTTTACAGGATTAGTGGCAAATCTTCATTCTCCTTAATTTAAAAAAAAATTCACCATTTTCAGATATTTTCTAGAAACTTCCTCCAATTTTTTTTTTTGATTTTCCAATGTCATAATCTCCTCCTTGGAATTACCAGCCTCCAACACATTCTAATTCTTCATTAGTTAATTGTACATGCATAGTGAGGTTTGTGATATGTACAATTTACCTGGATTGCAATGTATTATTTGCCTTGTCCTTAAAAATCTAAGTAATATATTTTTAATCAATAAGGAATTTCTATTAGTCACCTGTTCTGTCCCCCCTTCACGGCTCTTAACAAACGGCAGACAATTAAACTTAAAAGGAACTTTTCTTTATCAGTTCACAGTTCAAACTGGCTTC